CATATTCGTCAAAATGTTCTTTCTATTTCATAACATAATTATTTTACTAATCGTGTTTTAAATGATATGAAAAAAAAACAGTACAATGATAATTCAATCATTATCAAACAGAGACAAACATCTTTCGTATTAAAAGTTCATTAACGACAATTGACAATAATTACAGACATCAGTACTAGAGAATCTTGAATGAAAAATACATATAGTATGAGTAATAATAAATTACATTCTCAAGAAATAAAATCAATTGAAAATTTTCAGGATCAAATAAAAAAATACAAGAACTCGAAATATTATTTAAATAAATCATATTAGATCTCAACGTTTCAAAATACGATTAATCAATGATAATTATTCATCAGATGTCAAAAGTATTATTCGTCTCAATACGATTGATCTAACTAAACAAAGAAAGCAATCATCGACGATTGACAATAATAAAATACGTGTTAAACATATTCTCTGAACTTCTCAATCTATTACAATTGATAAACTTGATTATTCGTTGATTGAACACAATTAATTTATCATCAATAAAATCAACTTCAAAAAGATTAGATAATACTGATATGTTAGTAATAGATAAACATCTATCCTTCATTTGTATCAAATATATTCAGATGACTATCAAGGAAACCAGGCAAGCTGATACCCATCATTCGAGCTCATATTGGAAAAACATGAGAGGTTTTGTGAGACTAACAAAAGTCTAATAGGAATTCGTGCTCATAGATCTTTGAAGCTGAATTACAGTTGTTTTATCGAATTTTCGATTCAACTTTAGCTATATACTAAAAAAAAACAATGAAATTTCGAAATGTTACAAAAATTGGGTTTAATTGAAAATTCAATATTTCAACCAACAAATATTCTTTTCAATTGAAATTTTCAAGAATGTTCTATGGATCATTAAAATCTAACCGTCGACAAAATTTTACATCAAAATTCGTTTTTTTTTGATTTTCCGGTATATACCTAAAAATGAGTTGAAAATTCAGTAAAACAAAAAAACAAATCATAACTCAGATCCAAAGGTTCATGGTGAGACAAACTCATTTAGTATGATATTGAATGATTGAAATTATTTTTTTGTAAATTTTAATTTGCTCAAAATCAGATATATTAAAAAACTTATCATATTCATAGTTCAATAAATAATATGTTTATTAGTCATTATGTATCTAGTACAATTTAATAATAATAACAACAAAAGCAAGGTTTATTATCTGACAAGATATTTATGTTGATGATTACCATATACTACTAACTCAAAAATGTGTAATATTTTGTAGCAAAAACATTTCGAAAAAAGAAACATCTATCTTCATAAACAACATCAATTTTCAAAATAGAAACACTCTTTTTAGAATAATCTATCATCGAATCAATTTTATATATTTATTATTTTCTTATATCACGACGTTGTTCGAGTAGAAACGTGTACATATGATGCTTTCTCCACTCCTCCTCCTCCTCTTTTTTTTTATTCTCATAATAACAAATCAAGTCCGACAAATTTGCTATTGTGTACGGAAGTATTCTTTGCCACGCGAGAGACAATATCATCATTGATATAACGTTATCCAAGGTTGTCGAGCGCGAAAAGAGCAAGAAACAGCAGTTAACAATATATTACCAAGGCTTTTCTGTTTTTGCACATATGATAATAATGACAACAACAAGAATAATACGAACAAAAGAGTAAATAAAAATAAAAATAAAAATAGATATATTTATGGATTCTTTTTACCTACGAAGATACATAAATACAGCCTACGATATAAATTAATTCATTTAATAAAAGACAAAAAAAAAAAAATTTAGCAGAAAATTTCTAGTCATATTTGATAATCCAATTTATTTTTTCTTTTTTTTTCTTTCTTTAGTCTTCTCTATTTCTTTTCTTTCCTTATTGATTATCTACAATCCCGCGTCGTTGAATATGATTATCACTAACACTAGTACTAATACTGCAAAAGGAGAAAAAAATATAGTACAACAACAGACAAGAAACGATTGGATAACATATCGACAGAAATAACCTCTTTTTTCTTACGTCCTCTTCTTCTTTTTGGCTTGTTTGATACCAAAATCATCGGAATAGCTAAATGGATTGATATCTTCTGCATCTTTTTTTTTCCTGTTCTGTTGCTGCTACTATTACAAACTACTACTGCCGTTGTTGTAATCGTCGTTCTTTTTTGCATCCTAACATCTTACAAACACATTAAGAACAAGCCAACCTAAACCATAGCAGCAATGGCCGATTTACCCAGTGATAAAGTTGATGAAGCTAAACAAGTCTTTGAAGTATTTGATAAAAAATATGAGGTAAAAAATCTTATTTTATTTTATGAAATATGACATATTAATCTTTTCATTTGTTTTATAATAATAATAATAAAAAATAGGGTAAAGTTGATGCATATTACATTGGAGATATGCTCCGTTCGCTTGGTCTTTATCCAACACAAGCTGAATGTGAAAAACGTGGTCAAACAAAAAAATCAGGAGAAAAAACAATAAAAGTCGAAGAATTTTTACCTATTTATTCAGAATTTTATAAAATGCCAGCTAAAAATTTTGGTACATATGAAGATTTTATGGAAGGTTTAAAATTATTCGACAAAGAAAGTAATGGTTTAATGTCATTGGCTGAACTTACACAGGTACTTGTTGCTATGGCTGAAAAACTTGAACCACGTATTGTTGAAGAAATTCTTCGTTCAACAAATACAAAAGATGATGCCGAAGGCATGTTTAATTATGAAGTTTTTGTTCGTGCTCTTCTTCAAGGTCCGTTTCCAAATGAATCAACTTGATAACATTGAAGATTAACACTTCAAAGACATTAAAATTAGAAAAAGAATCAATTTTATCATTTGTCTTGTGTTTCCTGCCTTCTTTTTTTCTTTTGTCTTCTTTTTTTTTTTATACATGTCTATTCCTTTTTATCAACATTTCCCTCTTTTTTTTTATACACACACATGCACACAAACATGTTCTCTTCATTACAATGCACAGCAAGAAGAAGATTATGAACCGTCATTATTATCACTTCCTCTTTGGTTTGAATCTTATTATTATATTTGGTTCTGTGCGTGTATTTTATACCGTTATATTTTTTTTTGTGTTGTAGCAAATACTTTGCTACTCTACTTCTTGAGAATATACTAGAATAAGGTTAAAAGAACCATCCATCAGTACTAGCAAGAAGAATAAATCCTTCCTTCTGAATTTTTTCTTTTCTCTTTTTTTTTTAAATATAAAGCTTCATCTTTTGATCAATTTTGTTAAAGTATGATAGCTATGGCAAAGAAAAAACTTCATTCCCAGAAGATTTTTCTTCATTGAAGATATCAGATTACTGCTATTTACAAGATAGAATTTATGAACTAAAGTATTGATCAAAAGTCAGCTGAGATTCATATATTATATTCAATCAAAAATTAAAAATCTTAAATTAATGTCATCGTATTGATATAAATTTACTTTCTAAAATAAATTAATTCTCTAGCAAACATATGTATAGATATTACTATACGAAAAGTAATGTTAAAAGTTATCGATGGTGTTAACTAATTTGTAAATGTCAAAAATGAGAGAATTAAATTAATATGCTTTTTAAATTATTCTTTGTAGAAAGTTATATATATATATATATATTTGTTATATTATACCACATCAATTGTTTATGAATTCTTCAATGACGTAATAAATGACATCAAATAATCTATCTTAGTCAAAAATAACATTCCATTATTAATGATCCATTCTTATTCACTAAATTTCTTTTATATTTTTAGATAAATAATGATTAACTAATTCATAATTATTATATTGTAAATATAAAACAAAACAAAAAGTAATTTTACGCTATTTTAAGACAAGGTCTACGTTAATTATATCAAAAAAAAATTCTCAAGGTCTTCTTTAAATTACAGTATAAAATAAAACTGTCTATGTATGTAAGCAATGGCTGAATGACTCAAATACATAAGGATCGAAAAAAAAACGACAATGCAAGCACATGCAAGGTTTCAAAGGTAAAGTGTACGCTAGTAATGTAAAAGAAAGAGCACACCATTCACATCAAAGGTGCATTCTCCACCAAGAAAAAAAAATCGAAAAGAAATAGGAGCATGTTAAATCAAACTACAATGAATAATACTCATGATCATCATCCTCAGAATATCATCATAGGTGACATACTTCTCCATTTGGAATCAAAACCAACAATTATTCAAGTAGTTACTCATACAATTCTATCAACGGCATCTTCTTTAATAGTTGATAAACCAATTATTCGTCGATTATCACCAAATTCTTCTGGAACATCTACTTCACAAACAATTATTTCATGTGATTTAAAAAATAATCTACCTATTAAAAGTACGCATGAACGAATAAAAACATCATCAAAAAAAAAATTAATGCGTGTGCCTAAAGCTAGTATGGCATTAGTTAAAGAATGGAAATCAAAAGTAACAAATCCAACTCATCCTGAACTAAAATCATACACTACTAATACAAATATAGATAATGAACACACTTATTTTTAATTTGTTATCATTGTTTTTGCTTTTACATATTCAAATGAAGAGAAACAAATGTTGGAAAATTAAAAAAAAAACACAAATATATATTTACAACAGTCAAAAAAAAGGGAAGAAACAAGGTTTGTTTTTATTGACAAAAGAAATGATTAATACAAGATAAAATATCATCGTGCATTTGAAAAAAGAAAATGGGTTATTTCACACCACTTCAATAATAACGTCGATGACGTCAGAAAAATATAAAAACTCATCTTGCCCGTTTGATCACACTTCCGTCATTACACTGAAGTAGAATGGTGATTAGAGAATAACCGACCATTTAAATATCAAATTATCGTCCATTGATTGGCAGTATACCTGCGGTATAGTACACATTATACCTGTAGGTATTTTTTTTGTCCCATTTGAATCATATGGAAATTTATATAGACTAACAAGTTTCATTCATATAGAAATAAAAGATATAATTCGTATTATGCTATACTTTAAACCTATAGTCGTACAAAATTTATCATTACAATTGAGCATCAATCCTTTAGAAAAAAAAATCTCATTAACATAGACATACAACTTGAGAAGGAATCTATAGATAATATTGTCCTTTACATTATCTACATGTTTTTTTTAGATTCGACATAACAAAAAAAGTTTAATAATTTTTCTTTGCTACAAATAGTGCAATTCTTTGGGGTTTAAAATGTGAAACGCAATGTAGCTGTTCTTACTAATTATAGACAAAATTGTTTTACTCTTTTTTGGGACACATTTCTTCACTATCCTTTTATTTAATCTTCCAAAAATGCAATAATGAAATAGTTTAAATATTGTAAGGAGACATTATTGATATAACATTTGTCAACAACGTCTGTCATGACTTGGGAGGAGATGTCCAAATTTTTACCTCTATACTTCAACGTTTCTTTTAGACAATGTTTCACCAAAAAAAAAACTGCATTTAATTTTATTATAAGTTTAGTAATATAAGAAAAAACATGATTCCATAGAATAATAAGAAAGATCGATGGATGACTATCATCCGTACGCTAATAGATTGAGCTGTAAGAAAAGCATTAGTAATAGCTATGACTTTTGTTATTGATGTATTACTATTACAATTTGGTTTATTACATACAAGTACAAGACTAGATACTTGAGCAGTAAATTTTGGATTATTAGGATAAGCTAAACCAAATGACATATTGATACCTAATGCATCTGATGATAATGTTTCATTGCAACCTTTAGTCATTGTATGAAAATCTAATGTTAATGTACAATAGCCTGAACATAAAATTGGCGTTTCATTTGATATATCATTCATACATTCGATTTTTGTACCATAAGATATTGATAAATCATAAAATATTGGTTGAATACGTTTTAACATATGCTGATTTGCTATGTATACTGGATAGATTGTTTCAATTTCTAAAAAATAAATAATTATTCAATAGTTTTAATTGACAAAATTTACCTTGATAAGCACACTAGACAAAAAAATCGATGGAAAACAAAAAAGAAAACTAATGAATTCATATAACTTACATCATCAATTTGTGTTCGACAAACTATTCATAATAAATTATAAATATGTATATATATATATATATATATATATATATATATATTGAAATAAAATTAATAAACTTACAATAATTAATATTAAGTCGATGAGGATTTATTTTTGAAAATTTCATTTTTAATTGTCGAAATCTTATTGCTGTTATATTAGTTTTAATATAAGATAAATAATTCGTTACTAAATCAGCTCGCATTAATGAAGAATTTTCATTAACAATGTCAATTGCATCAGCAGTTGTCAAACTATATGAAACTAATTGTGTATTAAAATCCATACTTAAATAACCTTCACATATTTTAAAATGATCTTTTATACATCCAGAAATTTTCTTAAAATTATCTAACATTGTTTGATTTTGTGTGCAATTTATTTGACATATTTGTGTTCGATTTAATAATGAATCAGGTAACATTTCATATAATTCCATATATTTCGGATACAATGTGAATAATAATAACAATAATAACATAATAGCAACAATGCAAGAGATCAATTATACGATGAAATTAGATCGAATAAATCTTCTTCGTATCGACGATTGGCGCATAATAATTAATGTAAAAAAGATTCAACTCTTTCTTAATCAAATTTATCTCTCAGAAACCATTGAAGATTTGATATGAGTATAATAACAAAGAAAAAAGTCAATCTAAGTATTACTCGTTTGATATTGTAGAGAATATTTCGTGTATATATTACTTATCTTTTCAAACAACAAAGCTCAAATAATTACTCACCCATGTTGTGCATTTGTTCGAACTACCGTCGGTTGACTGACGCACATTATATTGAACAGCCTACCGACTGCTTTTGTTCGATTTAAATCACATGAAAAGCACTTGTTGTAGAGAATGGTTTTTTCTTTATTTTATTTTAAATCATACGATCAAAAATGCCTGATCATATTTCATCAAATCATATTTCGTGATTACTAAGCAGGTTTTATACAAACTGCTTTAGTTTAGGAATATTTTTTTTTCGAATATATTCTAAATTTATCAATTCAATTTATACAAAGTATTTCCAAAGAATGGGAATAACTCAGGTGATATCTGTGAGCTTTCTATTATTTTATTTCAGATTTTTTTTTTTGAAGTTTCATCTCACATGATTTCATTTGCATTCACTGCTCAACATAAACAGACTGAACTCGAACACACAATTCACTATTTGCAAATATTTAAAAAAAAATTGCATAAAATTTTCTACGAATTTATTTTGTTTTAGTTACCATGTTTTTTTGTTAGTTTCAGCGTGATCTTTAGTTTGACATCTTCTTTCATGTGTCTCCATAGAAAACTTTGAATAGTGTTAAGTGACACGAACTGAAAAGACCCATCTTTTTTTAATCCCATATAATAGGAAAAATGCTACTCAGAAATTGATGTGCAATTTATTGAACTCTGTTATGATTCAATGAACAAACTTTACAAACAATCATAACATTTGATGCCAATATACTTCCACTATTAACATGAACTTCAGTAATTTTTTCTTGTGTCATTATTGTAAAACATTTAGAATGTTTTCGATCTATTTACAATATTACTTGGATAAATGTATTGAAATAACTCTTTAATATTATCTTTATTTGATATTTCTTTGTCAAATTTGACTGACACGTAAGTCGATTGAAATATTGAAGAATTATTCAAATTTTATTTTTCGATAAACTTTCGAAACATTTAGTATAATGAGATTTGTGTAAAAATCTTTTTATAATTCTATTTTTATTCTAATATTTTCTTGACTGTATACAACTTTTCTGTAATAATATAATAAATAAAATTTCAAAATCAATTTAAAAGAAACAAAAGTCTTTTCGAAAGAGATATGTATTTTATTTTACAGTATTATTTTATTTGCACTTTTGTTTCTTTGTATAATTATAAAAAAAACGTCTCATTTGAACGCCCAAAAAAAACCTATTTATTAATCATGACATATTGACAGGTTTAGTCAATATACAATCCATTAGTATTTGACAATTATTCATTGTAAAAAATATAAAATAGGTAAATAACTAATTTCGTTTTTTTTTTGTAATAGAAACTTCTATAGCAATACTTTGAATGATTTGGCATGGAAAAACATAAATTACTAATTTTTATGATTGATATTGCAATTAATGTAAAAAAACGAAATATTAATTTTATTTAGTGACTAAATGACAACACATCGTCTTTTTTTCCACCTTGTACAGAGAAAACAATCATGATTCATTATTACGTCATGAGGCATATTATACTTTCTCTTCTTCCTTTACGCAAATTAGACAAAACGATGTTTTTTTGTTGTCAAGGTTATCACGTTTCAATGTCGCAAAACAAATTCTAATTAATATTGAATTGATTTGATCGAAGACGATTTTGTTTTAAGAAAATTTATATGCGCAATAAGTTTTTCTTCTTTTAGATAAATATCCAGATAATTCTAGTTTAGTCTATTTAACTAGTCATACTGAATTGCACCATACATTTTTCTCCGTAGTAATTTCATGACCTAGGCCAAGAAGCAGCATGGTAATTGTGAGAGAAAGAAAGAAAAAAAATAAAAAAGGCTTTTTTCTTTCTATTCTTCCTCGACTTCTCGCTCCTTCTCGATTATTCTACTCGTTTCTTCTAGCTTACGTATATAAATTGTAGTGCACTTATGTGTTGAACTTGCATTTCTCTCTCTCGTTAACACTCGTAGTTATTACACGCGTTTACTTCTTTATTCGTCGATATCATTCGAAATTCAACAAAAATGTCAGACAAGATGGAACAAGAAACTGGGGACCTTGAAACATTCGCTTTTCAAGCTGAAATTGCACAATTAATGTCATTGATTATTAATACATTTTATTCCAATAAAGAAATTTTCTTACGTGAAGTTATTTCAAATTCATCTGATGCGTTGGATAAAATTCGTTATGAATCACTTACAGATCCAACAAAACTTGATACTGGAAAAGAATTATATATTAAAATTGTACCAGACAAAGCCAGTAATACATTAACTATTATGGATACTGGTATTGGTATGACAAAAGTAAGTTTTGAAAAAACAACCAAGAACATACTTTTCAAATCAAATTTGAATATTTATTTTTTTGTAGGCTGATCTTGTTAATAATTTGGGTACAATTGCACGATCAGGTACACGTGCTTTTATGGAAGCACTTCAAGCTGGTGCTGATATTAGCATGATTGGTCAATTTGGTGTTGGTTTTTATTCATGTTATTTAATTGCTGATCGTGTAACAGTTACATCAAAACATAATGATGATGAACAATATGTATGGGAATCAAGTGCTGGTGGTTCATTTACAATTAAACGTGATACAACTGGCGAACCACTTGGTCGTGGTACAAAAATTGTTATGTATCTCAAAGAAGATCAAACTGAATATCTTGAAGAAAAACGTGTCAAAGAAGTTATTAAAAAACATTCACAATTCATTGGTTATCCAATTAAATTAGTTGTACAAAAAGAACGTGAAAAAGAAATATCCGATGATGAAGATGAAGATGAAAAAAAAACAACCGAAAAAAAAGATGAAGATGAAAGCAAAAAAGATGAAACGGTACGTTATAAAAATTTTTAATGAAACACAATCTAAAATGAGTATTGAAGTATTAAGATAAAAATTTGAACTTTTTCATAGACTGTGACAGATGTCTTCCACCCCTCTTTGTTTACAGATGTTGTTAATACACAATCAAATAGTATCTCGTTCTAATATATGAACTACTTCTTTAATGCATTTCTGGAGAAGCATAGTGAAGAAATACGTGCCAAAATAGTTAGACTAAAACAATCTTCCTACACGTGTTTTATATTTTAGTTTTGTACGAATTGTTCTAACAGGTTTTTTTTTAATTTCTAGAAAGTTGAAGAAGTCGATGAAGATGATGAAGATGACAAGAAGAAAGAGAGTGATAAAAAGAAGTAAGTTATTCTTTAAATAAACAAAAAAAGAGAAAAAGAATTCTTTGTCATATAAATATTTTTAGAAAGAAAAAAATCAAAGAAAAATATACCGATGAAGAAGAACTTAATAAACAAAAACCAATATGGACACGAAATCCAGAAGATATATCAACTGAAGAATATGCTGAATTTTATAAACAATTAACAAATGATTGGGAAGATCATTTAGCTGTTAAACATTTCAGTGTTGAAGGTCAACTTGAATTTCGTGCTTTATTATTTATACCAAAACGAGCACCATTTGATTTATTTGAAAATCGTAAAACAAAAAATTCAATTAAATTATATGTTCGTCGTGTATTTATTATGGAAAATTGTGAAGATTTAATGCCAGAATATTTAAATTTTATTAAAGGTGTTGTTGATTCCGAAGATTTACCATTAAATATTTCACGTGAAATGTTACAACAAAATAAAATTCTTAAAGTTATTCGAAAAAATTTAGTTAAAAAATGTGTTGAATTAATGGAAGAACTTGCAGAAGATAAAGAATCATTTAAGAAATTTTATGAACAATTTTCACGTAATATTAAACTTGGTATGTATTAAGATTCGTTTTTTTATTTTAGAATTAATCTATTGTCTATTTTTTTTGTATATTAAAGGTATTCATGAAGATTCAACAAATCGTGCAAAACTTGCTGGTTTCTTACGTTATCATTCATCAACATCAGGTGATGAAGTAACATCATTAAAAGATTATGTGTCACGAATGAAAGAAAATCAAAAAGATATTTATTATATAACTGGTGAATCTCGACAAGTTGTTGATCAATCAGCATTTGTTGAACGTGTACGTAACCGTGGTATTGAAATTATTTATATGACAGAACCAATTGATGAATATTGTGTACAACAATTAAAAGAATTCGATGGCAAAAAACTTGTTTCAGTTACAAAAGAAGGTTTAGAATTACCCGAAGATGAAGATGAAAAGAAGAAGTATGTTTAAAAAAAAATTAAATTTTACATAACAAAACACAAAAAAATTTATTTTTTTTAAGACGTGAACAGGATAAAGAAAAATATGAAACATTATGTAAAGTAATGAAAGATATTTTAGACAAGAAAGTTGAAAAAGTTGTTGTTAGTAATCGACTTGTTTCATCACCATGTTGTATTGGTAAGTTGTTGAAAAATAAATGTCTGTTTGTTTTTTTTTGTTTATTAATCTTTTTCTATTATTTCTAGTTACATCACAATATGGTTGGTCAGCTACAATGGA